TATAACCAGTTGATGCAAACTAAACTATGCATAATATAGAAAAAGAATTTAGCAAAAAAAATAAAAATAAAAATTAACCTCACATTGGAAACTCTATTTCTAGTTGAGGTTTTAAACTCATTTTCTCACTAAATTACAACTTTTCATGATGTTAAAATCTTTTACAAATAAATTATAACTTAACCATATATGTCAATTAATTTGGTTTAAATTATTAAAAGGATATAACTGATACAATATTGAAAATCAAGTAATCTCATTAGTATTTTAATTTGAATGTTGATAAAAAAAAAGTTATAATAACTTCATATATAATTTGCATTATTTGAAACGGAGCATAGTCTTTTGAATGTGAACAACAGAACAACTGAACATTATAGAGGTGTATATTTATCGTCGTAATCGGTTATAGTCCAATACTATTGGGCTTCAAAATTTAAAACAAATAAACAATATTGAACCTTATGGCCCAATATAATATTGTGACACTTTAAACTTTTTATAAGGTCCATTTAAAATCCTATAACCATTTATAGATTGGAACAAAAAAAACTACTTACTTTCATTTCATCATTTCATTGTTACGAAGCTGCTTGTATTTTATTATGGAATAATTTATGAGACAGTTGATTAACAAACATATATTTTTTTTTAAATATATGTTTGCTAGATATTGTGATTAAGAATTGAAATCATTTCTCTATACTTTAATAAATACATGCCTACTGTTATAATCATCTAACCTATTATATCTTTATGTATTGAAAAAAATATATCATTTTTCTTGCAATATTTTATGGAAGAAACAGGAAAAATGAATACTTACAAGTTATATAACTAATAAACATACCTACTACTAATAATTAAGACACCCTATGCCTAAATTTAGTTACAAAGAATAATATAATTAAACAAGCTCCAAACAAAATCACATTCAAAACTGTGAATCACAACAAAAGTTATCAAAAAATATAGCATCCATGAAGAAAAAAAAAAAGATGTCATCCAGTACAACAAATAAATAAAAATCATCACACCCTAACTAAAACATCAAAAAAAAACCCCATGATGAATAATAACTTAACTCAAAAAAGAAAAAAAAAATTGAAGATTGAACCCATCTTATAAAGCAGAAAACTTAGGAACATGAACAGGAAACTGATGAATCTCATCAATCCAAGGATTCAAATTTTTTTCTTTTGAAGGATTGATTGTCTTCAAAGCTTTCCAAACAGCACTATTACACTTAAACCCTGATCCAAACGCAATCTGCCATGCTCTATCACCTTTTTTAATCCTTCCTTTTGCTTCTGAATAAGCTAATTCATACCAAGGTGAACTACTTGAAGTATTCCCAAATCTATTCAATGTCATTCTTGAAGGCTCCATATGCCAATCAGAAAGCTGCAAATTCTTCTCTATTTCATCAAGAACAGCTCTTCCACCCGCATGAATACAAAAATGCTCAAACGCAAGTTTAAAATCAGGAATATATGGTTTAATCTTCCTTCTTAAAACCTTTTTTCCAACTAAAGTTGCAAAAAAAAGTAATTGTTCAGACATTGGTAACACTAAAGGACCTAATGTTGTGATGTTGGTTTTTAATGCGTCTCCTGCAACTCCCATTAAATCTTTTGATAATGAAACTCCGATTTTCCCAATTGGGTCTTCCAATTGTGTTACGCATGAGAAACATTTGTCATCTGAGCCTTTGTGTGTTCTTACTGTGTGAACGAGTTGATATTTTGAGATTTTTTTGTCGGATGATTTGTTGGATAAGAGAATTGCAGCTCCTCCCATGCGGAATAAGCAATTGGAAACAAGCATTGATCTTTCGTTTCCGAAGTACCAATTTAAGGTGATGTTTTCCATGCTCATGACTAGTGCGTATGAATTAGGGTTTACTTGGAGAAGGTCTTTAGCTAAATCAATAGCGATTAAACCAGCTGAACAACCCATTCCACCGAGATTGAAGCTTAGAATGTTGCCTCGAAGTTTGTAATGGTTGACAATCATTGAAGTTAAAGAAGGGGTAGGATTGAAGAGACTACAGTTAACGACTAAAATCCCGATGTCTTTTGGTTTGATACCTGTTTTTGCTAGGAGTTCGTCAATGGCGCCGAACATTACAAGTTCTGCTTCTTTTCTTGCTTCTTCCATGCATGGATTTGGGGGGATTCGAAGAACAGCTTCAGGGAGGTAGGTTGATTCGCCAAGACCGGATCTTTCGAGGATTTTTTTTTGAAACTCGAGACTTTGATCTGTGAACGTACCTGTTGATGTCGAACATTGAAGGAATTTCTGTCTTGTGCATTTTCGATCTTCTTCAGGTTTGTAGCATGAGAAGTTTACAAGGTAAACTGGGCGAGGGCGAGTTAGGAAGTAGAGAGTTGATAGAAAGACTAAAAGGGTGGAGCATACGACGACTGATATGAGATTGAATCGGAGATGATCCCAAAGAACGTGAATATCTTCGAGAGAAAATGTCGACAATTGAGCAGCGAGAACGACGACGAGAGGAGATAAGAACAGATACATTCCATGGGTTATTAGATAATGATACCCTAGTTTTACATACTTGAGCTTCACGGATTTTTTGAAATCGGGAAGGTTTGAAGATGATGATTGTGAAATCAAAGGCTTGACTTCTGTAACGTCACTCATTTTTAGCAGAAATTCGATTCCGATCACAGAGGTATCAGTAGAACAGAGAAAAAAAACAAAACAAAAGCAAGATCTGGTGTATCCGAAACAAATCAGGAACTCAAAAACCCATAATGACCTGAGATCTGGAACATCGAATCACAAACGAGGGTAGTTCCTGCAAACCGGGGATGAAATTCAACAAAAAAAAAATCAAGAATGCTAAATCAACACTAAATCATCAATTACGACAACTCGAGTGAAACCCGTAACTGTTTAACCTAAATTAACGATAAATTACAACAGATGCGATGATGAAATTGGTAATTAAGAAAGAAATTAAACCTGGAACAAGATGAATGTTGGCGGAGTGATCGATGAGTAGGGAATGAATGTGTGAAGGTGGTGTGGAAAACGGAAGTGCCGCCTAGGTATTTAAAATGTGAAACAGAGAGTCATATGATGTTAATTGTGGCTGTCAGAATTGAATTCGACATTTGTAGAAGTTGCGGATTGAAGTGAAATTTGACTATAATTTATTGAATGAAAACCCTAATCACACTGATCCGATTGACAACGCACGATCACGAGAAATTTAGACGAAGCTTCTTACAGTTGTGCGAGTAGCATCTCAAGATATTCCAATTAGCTAAAAAGCGACAATAATTTTAGTGGATATATGCTGACCCGGGATTTCAAATTATTCATAGACAAAACTGCAAAAATAGTCCCTGTGGTTTCTCATTTTATGTGGTTACGGTCCAAACGTTTGAAAAATTGCAGATTTGATCATTTTCAACAAGTTTTGTTGTGGTTTGGTCCCTCATCCGTTAAGTTTAACTGGTTGGCTGTTAACTTCCTTAACATGACAATTTGACCCCAGGGACAATTTTCGCAGTTTTATCTTTTACCATACTATAAGGACCATTTTTGAATACACTCTTTTTTATTTTATTGAAGTATTATATCTTAATAGATATTATTTTAATATATAATATTATATATTAATAAATATTGTTTTATTGGATTATCAATTTATTTTAGTTGATTTTTAATATATTTTTTTGTTGGAGTAATTCTTTTTTATTAAATTATTATATATCAACACATATAGTTTTTAATATATAAATATTTATATCATAATGAATATTATATTATTGGATTATTAATTTTTTT